CGGGAATCGAACCCGAATCTCAGGACTACGAATCCGAAGCGCTCTCTACTCAGCTATCAGGCACCCAAGATATAATTAAGAATTTATTACAAAAACAAGAAGACCGCCAACCTACTCATGAAGAACTCTCCAGACACCAAACAGAACACCTTGAAAGAGTCCAACATCGTCTATGCCTTCACATGCCCACTTGGGGACTGTCAGCCCCAAAGATCTCAGTATATAGGCAAGACAACAACGTCTCTAGGTTAGGTTAACAATGCACAAGCAATAGGGCTCCATCAAGGAACATATAGCCAGACACATCAAGACCATCACCAGAGACATCTTAACAAGCAACACTGAACTAATCGACAGATATTTCAGAAAATAGTTAGAGGGATAGAAGCCCTAAATCAAGAAGATATATATATATATATATATATATATATATATATATATATATATATATATATATATATATAACAGGGGCATCACCGTGGCACCACGGTGCCACGGTGTGGCACCGTGGTGCCACACTATATGTATATTATATATACACACTATATGTATATATATATGTATATATATATATATATATATATTATATATATATATATATATATATATATATATATATATATATATATATATATATATATATATATATATATATATATATAACTGAAAACTCACACCCCAGAAGTGACTCGAACCCATACTCCCACAACTGGTATGTACAGGGACGCCTTAATCCGCTTGACCATCACGACCGGACATAAGGAAGTGATAGCCGAGGCTATATGAACCACTTCCCCGCCGGCACTCGGATGGTAATCTTGGGCATAGCATTTTATCAAATCACCTCATTCTTTGGGGCACACGTGAGGAACACAAATGCAAACAAGCCTGAATGGTCCCCAGGACTATATACAACTGAAAACTCACACCCCAGAAGTGACTCGAACCCATACTCCCACAACTGGTATGTACAGGGACGCCTTAATCCGCTTGACCATCACGACCGGACATAAGGAAGTGATAGCCGAGGCTATATGAACCACTTCCCCGCCGGCACTCGGATGGTAATCTTGGGCATAATCCTGGGGACCATTCAGGCTTGTTTGCATTTGTGTTCCTCACGTGTGCCCCAAAGAATGAGGTGATTTGATAAAATGCTATGCCCAAGATTACCATCCGAGTGCCGGCGGGGAAGTGGTTCATATAGCCTCGGCTATCACTTCCTTATGTCCGGTCGTGATGGTCAAGCGGATTAAGGCGTCCCTGTACATACCAGTTGTGGGAGTATGGGTTCGAGTCACTTCTGGGGTGTGAGTTTTCAGTTGTATATAGTCCTGGGACCATTCAGGCTTGTTTGCATATACATATATATATATATATATATATATATATATATATATATATATATATATATATATATATATATATATATATTAAACGACAATTAAATAATAAACGCTCAGGTTTGTTTCAACATAAACCAAAAAACTTTTGTGTTCTCTCTCGCATAAGTTTACATAATGAGAAATTAAAAAATTAAATCTTGAATAAAATTCTGGCAGCGAGCAGTCACCGTGGGAGTGGGTGGCACCGTGGGAGTGGGTGGCACTGTGGGAGTGTGTGTGGCACCGTGGGAGTGGGTGGCACTGTGGGAGTGTGTGTGGCACCGTGGGAGTGTGTGGCACCGTGGGAGTGTGTGGGGCACCGTGGGAGTGTGTGTGGCACCGTGGGAGTGGGTGGCACCGTGGGAGTGGGTGGCACCGTGGGAGTGTGTGTGGCACCGTGGGAGTGGGTGGCACCGTGGGAGTGGGTGGCACCGTGGGAGTGTGTGTGGCACCATGGGAGTGTGTGTGGCACCGTGGGAGTGGGTGGCACCGTGGGAGTGTGTGGCACCGTGGGAGTGTGTGGCACCGTGGAAGTGTGTGGCACCGTGGAGTGTGTGTGGCACCGTGGGAATGGGTGGCACCGTGGGAGTGTGCGTGGCACCGTGGGAGTGTGTGTGGCACCGTGGGAGTGTGTGTGGCACCGTGGGAGTGTGTGTGGCACCGTGGGAGTGTGTGTGGCACCGTGGGAGGTGTGTGGCACCGTGGGAGGTGTGTGGCACACTGGGAGTGGGTGGCACCGTGGGAGTGGGTGACACCGTGGGAGTGGGTGGCACCCTGTGAGTGGGTGGCACCCTGGGAGTGGGTGGCACCGTGGGAGTGGGTGGCACCCTGGGAGTGGGTGACACCCTGGGAGTGGATGGCACCCTGGGAGTGGGTGGCACCCTGGGAGTGGGTGGTACCGTGGGAGTGGGTGACACCCTGTGAACTGGAACAGGGGGAAGAACCTGTGTGCTACTTGGAACTTTTTGTTCCAAGTAGCGAATCTTAAACAACAACAACAGCCAACTGCAAAAGGAAATATCATCAGAGACTTATTATACAAGGTTGGCCAACATCTGAACTGTCTTTTGAACCTTGAAAAAGGAATCATTCAGAAACCTGTATACCGCATATGTCAGACCAATCCTGGAGTATGCAACTCTAAGATTGGTCCATACCAAGTCAGCTACATGTCACAAAGTTAGAGAAAGTTCGGAGGTATGCCACCAGCCTAGTCCCGGAGCCGAGAGGTACGAGTTACAAGGAAAGGCTTCTGGAATTAAACATCACGTCACTAGAAGACTGAAGAGTTAGGGGAGACATGTTAGAGAGTTACAAGTTACAAACTTCTCACTGGAATAGACAGAGTAGACATTGACAAACATATTCAGCATGATTAGAACACGAACAATGGAACACAGGTGGAAACTGAGTCCCCAAATGAACCACAAAGTTACTAAAAAGAACTTTTCCAGTGCCAGATTAGTTAGTAAATGCATTAGGCAGTGATGTGGTGGAGGCTGACTCCATACACAGTTCCAAATGTAGATATGATAGAGCCCAATAGGCTCGGAAAACCTGTACACCAGATGACTGACGGTGGAGAGGCGGGACCAAAGAGCCGAGGCACAACCAGTTGGGTACACACATATAAAAGCCAGTGGAGCAGAGTAACCCACATTTCACCCCCAGGATGCAGATTTTTGTAGATCATTTGCTTATATTGCAAGACTCATGAGGCGATAGTCGTGCATCACCGTGGCAGCGCCCGAGCTCCTGGCTGAGGCAGACAACGGCAGACAGGCAGGCAGACAGGCAGGCAGACAGGCAGGCAGGCAGGCAGGCAGGCAGGCAGGCAGGCAGGCAGGCAGGCAGGCAGACAGGCAGGCAGGCAGGCAGACAGGCAGACAGGCAGGAGGCAGGGAGACAGGCAGGCAGACAGGCAGGCAGGCAGGGAGACAGGCAGGCAGGCAGGCAGGCAGGCAGGCAGGCAGGCAGACAGGCAGGCAGGCAGGCAGGCAGACAGGCAGGCAGGCAGGCAGGCAGGCAGGCAGGCAGGCAGGCAGGGAGACAGGCAGGCAGGCAGGCAGGCAGACAGACAGACAGGCAAGCAGCCAGGCAGGCAGGCAGGGAGACAGGCAGGCAGGCAGGCAGATATGCATTACACAAGCAGACAAGTAAGGAAGAAGGCAGACAGCGGGCCCTGCAGACTATGGACATAGAGGCATGAAGGCAAGCAGGTAGGAACAAACAAACCAGGAAGCAGACAGGCAGAAAATCAGGCAATAAGTGGAGCAGACAGTTTATGTCTTATGAAAATCACTTAGCGCAGAGAAGTTTATGTAATGTGTGTGTAGAGACTTTCTGCAGCGGTGGTGGTGGCTGGTGGTGGGTGGTGGTGGCTGGTGGTGGCTGGTGGTGGCTGGTGGCTAGTGGTGGCTGGTGGCTAGTGGTAGCTAGTAATGGCTAGTGATGGCTAGTGATGGCTAGTAATGGCTAGCGGTAGTGACAACACTGAAGGTAGCAATATAAAAATAATCCACCCTTCCAACACGACCAGATAGACAGACGACCCCATTACCAAGGCAACTTCCCCCTTGTCCCTGACGACGCCCCTCCCCCCCCCCACGTCTCTTAACAACACCACGCCAATTACACGTCAATAAAGTCAATGTAATACGCCAGCCAGATCCTTCCTGCCTCGCTGCATGGTTAACTACACAGAATAAAGGTTGGTAATTGTGTTCACATTAATAGGCAAGAACACAATGGTAATTGGAACATATTAGTTGTCTGCTCAGAGTTATGGGGGGGGGGGCCACACCAAGTTATACCATTGTACCATTGTCCCACACCAAGTTGTACCATTGTACCACACCAAGTTGTACCATTGTACCACACCAAGTTGTACCATTGTACCACACTTGTCCCACACCAAGTTGTACCCTTGTACCACACTTGTCCCACACCAAGTTGTACCTTTGTACCACACTTGTCCCACACCAAGTTGTACCCTTGTACCACACTTGTCCCACACCAAGTTGTACCCTTGTACCACACTTGTCCCACACCAAGTTGTACCATTGTACCACACCAGATTGTACCATTGTACCACACCAGATTGTACCATTGTACCACGCTTGTCCCACACCAAGTTGTACCACTGTACCACACTTGTCCCACACCAAGTTGTACCACTGTACCACACTTGTCCCACCCCCAAGTTGTACCACTGTACCACACTTGTCCCACCCCCAAGTTGTACCAGTGTACCACACTTGTCCCACACCAAGTTGTTCCACTGTACCACACTTGTCCCACACCAAGTTGTACCACTGTACCACACTTGTCCCACCCCCAAGTTGTACCACTGTACCACACTTGTCCCACCCCCAAGTTGTACCATTGTACCACACTTGTCCCACACCAAGTTGTACCATTGTACCTCCGCGGAGACTCCTAATAGCACGTCGCATTTTGACGTACACGCTACCTAAGGCCGACAAATTGGTCGTACTAGAACATGGTTAGCGGCTGGCGAACCTGACGTACTCTCCCGTTTTCTGTTTTGGGTCCTCTGGCAGGTTAGGACAAGGGCACTTTAGCACGACGGTTTCTTGACGTTGGGAGCTACAGGAGCGAGTGTCAAGCTGTAGGAGCGAGTGCCAAGCTACAGGAGCGAGTGTCAAGCTACAGGAGCGAGTGTCAAGCTGCAGGAGCCAGTGTCAAGCTGCAGGAGCCAGTGTCAAGCTGCAGGAGCGAGTGTCAAGCTACAGGAGCCAGTGTCAAGCTGCAGGAGCCTGTGTCAAGCTACAGGAGTGAGTGTCAAGCTACAGGAGCGAGTGTCAAGCTGCAGGAGCCAGTGTCAAGCTACAGGAGTGAGTGTCAAGCTACAGGAGCCAGTGTCAAGCTGCAGCAGCGAGTGTCAAGCTGCAGGAGCGAGTGTCAAGCTACAGGAGCGAGTGTCAAGCTACAGGAGCGAGTGTCAAGCTGCAGGAGCGAGTGTCAAGCTACAGGAGCGAGTGTCAAGCTACAGGAGCGAGTGTCAAGCTGCAGCAGCGAGTGCCAAGCTGCAGGAGCGAGTGTCAAGCTGCAGCAGCGAGTGTCAAGCTACAGGAGCGAGTGTCAAGCTACAGGAGCGAGTGTCAAGCTACAGGAGCGAGTGTCAAGCTACAGGAGCGAGTGTCAAGCTACAGGAGCGAGTGTCAAGCTACAGGAGCGAGTGTCAAGCTACAGGAGCGAGTGTCAAGCTACAGGAGCGAGTGTCAAGCTGCAGGAGCGAGTGTCAAGCTGCAGGAGCGAGTGTCAAGCTACAGGAGCGAGTGTCAAGCTACAGGAGCGAGTGTCAAGCTGCAGCAGCGAGTGCCAAGCTGCAGCAGCGAGTGTCAAGCTGCAGGAGCGAGTGTCAAGCTGCAGCAGCGAGTGTCAAGCTGCAGCAGCGAGTGTCAAGCTACAGGAGCGAGTGTCAAGCTGCAGGAGCGAGTGCCAAGCTACAGGAGCGAGTGTCAAGCTGCAGGAGCGAGTGTCAAGCTGCAGGAGCGAGTGTCAAGCTGCAGGAGCGAGTGTCAAGCTGCAGGAGCGAGTGTCAAGCTGCAGGAGCGAGTGTCAAGCTGCAGCAGCGAGTGTCAAGCTACAGGAGCGAGTGTCAAGCTGCAGCAGCGAGTGCCAAGCTGCAGGAGCGAGTGTCAAGCTACAGCAGCGAGTGCCAAGCTGCAGCAGCGAGTGCCAAGCTGCAGGAGCCAATTTGTCACATTGATACCTCAGGTTAATTTGTCTCATTGATACCTCAGGTTAATTTGTCTCATTGATACCTCAGGTTAATTTGTCACATTGATACCTCAGGTAAATTTGTCACATTGATACCTCAGGTTAATTTAGAATAAATCACATATTTACATTTCTGTTACGAATACATTACAAATGAATACTTTACAAACCATAACAAAATTAACAAAAGGTGAACTTTGCAAGTGCTTTACTCTCTCTCTGTAAGTGATCAGAACTTTTCTGGTGGCGCCAAGTAAGTGTTTAAACCATTTTTTTTTGTTTTATTTATTTTTTTTTTGCAAGTTGCAAGCTCACAAATGAGACATTAGACCACGAATTAAAAAAAAATTATTACCACCTTCAGATTTCTTCCCGGAAAACTTGGTGACGAACGAACGTAGAAACTATCTCACGAAGATATTTCCAGCAGGGGGGAGGGGGGGTTATGGTGCCAGGGAGGGTGCCAGGGGCGGTGCCAGGGACAGTGCCAGAAGGGGGGGGGGAAGGGGGTCCTGGTGTACAGGAGGCACCAGCAAAATTATTTTTGTCTAATTGGTTATAGGTTAATAATATTTTTTGGTGGGAATAGAGATGTAAACATGGCGAGGGGGAAAGAGGGACATGGGAGAGGTAGAAGGAAGGGAGGGAGAGAGGGAGGGAAGGAGAGAGGGAGGGAAGGAGAGAGGGAGGGAAGGAGGTAGGTAGGGAGGTAGGGAGGGAGAGAGAGACCAAGAAGAAGGGAGAGCAGAGCGTCACCTTAAGGGTGAAATAAGTCGTTCCTCCATTAGCGGCTTGAGGCAAAAGTCTAACCCCTGAAGGAGACCCTTTACTTATTGGTAAAGCCTTTCCCAGGTGGGGCTCTGTTCCACCCTGCCTCCCCTTCCTTCGTTCCTTCCCACGGCCTCCCCTCCCACACCCTCTCCCACACAACACACTGGAACACTAAGCCGCCCACATCAGCCCCTCCGTCAAAACCACAACTGTTGTGTCTTCAAAACAAACGTCGCCTGCCTCACGTATCAAACCCATCGAAGCCGGTGCCTGGAAAACCCTCAATATTAAGGTGGTTTTTATTTGCACAAACATGCCGTCTTTTTAACGTATTGGTTACCCCCCCCCCAAAAAAAAAACGGAAAATAACGCATTCCGTTAAAAATACGACGTGTTACGTTACGTTAATGATGCGTGTGTATGCGTGTGTGTGTGTGTGTGTGTGTGTGTGTGTGTGTTGTATGTGTGTGTGTGTGTGTGGTTGT